AAAGGACCATTGACTCTCTAACCCAGCATCTCCAACAAATTGAAAAAGAGCAGCAAGATAATTCCTTAGACTTTTAGTGGCGTTATGTGTTAGAACAAATATTTCCTATACCTGTACCATTCTCATTAAGAAGTAATTAGGATATGGTGATAACAAAAAAAAAAATATCAAAAGCCTCATTGCCGTTGAGTCAGAACCAACTCATAGCTGACCCTCCAGTGGATTTTCAGACAGTAGATCACAGCGAAGGAGATTACCATCTTGTGGAGTGGCTTGGAGATTCAAACCATGTGCCTTCGGTTTAACAGTTCAATTCCTTACTACTGAGCTACTAAAGAAAAGACTATCAACAAAGCACAGTCTATAAATAAGGATGACCTGTTACCTACAATTCAAATGGGTAGAATCAGTACACTAATTATAACATTAGAAATATCTCAGTCACAAAAGGACAAACACTGCATAGTGCCACTGCTGTAGAATGGGACTGACATCAGGGTTAGGGTAAGAATGACAAAAACTGGATGAGTTTTGTATACTGCATTGAAACCGATGAGGGAGAGAACAGTTTAAAATCAATATATTTTAGGGCATTATGATTATCATAAGAGTCCGGAATGAAGGTTACAGAGTAGAGTATATTTGGGGTGCGGGTGGGGGGTGTGGGGGGATTGTATACCAACGAAGGAATTTTACTTTTCAAAGAGAAGAGCAAACTGAGGGTGGGGTGTGATGGGCAACAATGAATGAATGGAAATCCAAAATCTCTGTAAATATTCCTTAAAATTAGTTTAAAAAAAGTTTTACAACTTGGGCATTAGGGTATCTGTGCCGTATTGAAACTGGAAACCAAAATTATGAGAGAATGAAAAATATGATGTCATAGTCTATGTTCTCTAGGGTCATTATGAGTCAGGAACAACTCCATGGTAATATGCTTCATTTGGGGGAGTTTATTTTCTATTTAAAATTTGGAACATTTACAACTACTAGGACAGGTTTTTGTTTTGTTTTGATTTTATGCAGTAACTTGTAATAAGAGTTTATTGATTGCATCCACTTCCTAAACTACATGCCTCTGGAAACTCTATGAACTTTGATAAATGTCAATAGTTATAGAAAGGTTTCAGGTCTTTTGTTTATAAGTTCACTATGAGTTATGCTCAACTCAAAGGCAATCACAATAACAATATAATATTAAGGAGCTTTGTTGGGCTAGTGCAAAAAGTTGCACTGCAATCCTGAAGGCATGAGGTTCAAGGCCACTAGCCACTCTGTGGGAGAAGGATTGGAAATCTCCTCCCTAGTGATTAACTGCCTCTGAAAATGTTGGAGGGTCACCTATGAGTCGGTTCCCACTCTATGGTACACAAGAACAACAGTATAATATTACAAAGTTAAGCAAACTTTTTCTTTTCATCAATGATGCAAAGAACATGAAACAAGCAAAAGCAGAGAAAAAAAACAACAGGAGTAAGCTAAAGAGTTAACTTTCCCTAATGGTAGAAGGTGGATTCTTCAAGTGATGAACAAGATAAACTACAGAGGTATAAAAAAATAAGAGCTTCCTGGGGGGGTGGGTGGGGGGGAGATAAGAGCTTGTCTTTAATTTTATCTAATAAAACCCTATGTACAACAGAACACACGTAGAATGAAAGAAAGGGCAACTGAATACAGGACAGAGCAGAGTTTAGGGCTGTTGTACATAGGGTCGTTATGAGTCACAAGTGACTCTACAGCACATCATAACAACAACTTTTACTTTTCTATTTTATCTATTTAATCTTTCATAAAACTTACATAGATGTTCAATTAGTCATAGAGTTGAAGGGAGTGCTTCCTTATAAAATATGAGTACATAATCAAAAATGTTCGAAGACCACTTCTAAAGACACTAAATGGATTTATTTGTTCTAAGCTTTAATGTCATTGATAAGAAGAAAAACAGGCTAAAGGAATGGAAGTTTAATTTTAGTACTAATTGTTACATTGTTAGAAATTAGCTTATATAGATTTACATAGCTTTTATGTTGTTGTTGTTATTAGGTGTCGTCGAGTCGTAGACAACTCATAGCGGCCCTATGAATGAAAGGCCAGAGCACTAGCTTTTATGTTAAGGATATTTATATATTTTTCTAATTTTATTGTATCCTTCAATATTATTCTTACTAGGTAATAGACGTGATTGTGCACTCTCCTACGGGGTTTTAATGAATCAGGATCAACTCCATAGCGGGAACTAAGAATATTGTATGTGTAAGGAATTTGCTTTTGCAGTAGTTCATATTTAAAAAGAATATATTGTTGGTTGTTATGTTTATCGTCATGTTAATGGCTGCAGTTAGCTTTATTAAGATAACTGCATATGGTCAATCCAAGGGTTAATGTGTAACATTTGATTGCTTGGATTGGTCATGTTTTGGAATAAGATAGTAAAATTTCCTCCTGACAGTGTGTCATGAGTTACTTTTGCCTTAAGCCTAATCTTGAAAGAAACCTCCCTTGATGGTCTCCTTTCAAGAAGTAATTGCCTTGTATAGGTGAGCATTTCCAATGTACAGTATGCTCCACTCACTCTACTTCATGGTGATGTGAGCTCTAATAGATATTTGTTTAAAAGAAGTAATAAGCAGAACAGAAATTTAGTAAAATTAACTTGTTATGTTAGTGATAGAAATGTACATTAATTCAAAATTTATTTTCCTTTTAGTTCACAAGATGAGGAAAGACCTATGTCACCTTTATATTTGAGGTATTTATTTGATTTTTGTTGAACCTTACATGGTGATGGCAGAGGGTTAATAGCGTCTTTGTTTTCAAATCCTTTTCAGCAGAGCCTTCTACACTGTGGCCAGACTACACTTACTGGCTCCTTTCAACATACTGTTCCTGTTGAATTGTCTTCTTTTTTATTTAAGATCACTTAAAAAGCAATGTACTCTAGTTGAAAAGAGGGAAAGTTATTTTTGGTTTCTGATATTTTAAAATAATTATAATTCACAGATGTCTGGCTAACCATTTAAATTTTAAAAAAAAAATCTCAAGGATTAGACTATAATAAAAAATAAAAACCTCTGTGAGGCCATAGTCCATTGGGAGTTGCAGACTCAACCCAAAGGCAGCAAGAGAGGTCTTGTGGTTTGAATCCACCAGTGGGTCCACAGGAGAAAGAGAAGCAGTCTTCTCCATTCCATTGCGATTTGCAGCCTCAGGAAACCCATTGAGGTTCTGCTATGAGTTAGTTCCTACTTGATGGCAATGAGGGGTTTTTTTTTCAGTTTTATTTTCTGTGTATTGAAGGGAAGAAGGGCAATCATACATGGAAGAAAGCTCAGATCATGTTAGTTCATTTATTCAACATTAAACAAATTTCTAGAATTGAGTTATTCTTTTCCATCTAACTTCTATAAAGTCAGCATGTTGTTATTGTTGTGTTCTGTAGAGTTGGAACCGACCCAGAGCTGACCCTATGGTAGATGTTGTGAAGCACAGGAGGAGATTGCCCATCCTTCTTGGTGCGGAGCAAGCTGGTAGCCTCAAACTGTGTGCCTTCGCAATTGCAGTGCAGCTTCTTGCCACTAGACCACCAGAACTCATAGAATTAGTTGTTATATGAGATCATGACAGTCAGTATTTTATTTCTCCAGTGACCAGAAAGTCACTGTATAGATGCAGGTTTTCGATGAATAAATAATCAAACTTGGGTATAGCCTAAGCTCAAGTTTTTCCTATTGTATTTTTTCCTTGCCTACTCCAGAAGTTTGGAAAACATATGTAATATGCCATGATCATACGAGTTAAACAGTGCTAAAGGTTTTACTTTATTCTTCCCCAGCTTTGAAAAACCACTACTTTTAAAAAGAAATACCAGGATATAAAATGTAATATATAACTTGTTTAACTTAATAATTAATATGAATTGTTTCTGCAGAACCAGAGTAAAATTTACTTTTTTTTTTTTTGGTACCAGTAGTTCGGAAATGTATCATAGCACTTCAAGCATAAACTAGTAACAGCTTTTCAGTATGTTCTGCCCTTTAGTGACTTGAAACATATTGCATAATCACTTTGTGGTAAAGGAGGGAACATTTGAGGTTTCAATTTGAGACAACATGGTGGTTCATTTTATTCACCCTGGTTTTCTGCCAGCTAAATCAGCATATTCTGGTTCGTGGACTATCTCAACTATGCAATTACAGTGGACACATGAAGATGTTGTTACTGGGAACACTGTGGCTCTGGAATCCATGATGTAAATACACACAGGAATATCAAACAAATGATTATTTTTATATGCTATGGAAATTAAGGTTTACACCATACCAGATACTATAGCATTGGATGATGCAAGCAAATTAGAACCACTCCTTTGACGATTGGATTTTATTGCTCTGGGTCACATCAATCTGTGATTTAGATAGTAATGGATTTTATTTTGTTTACTATGGTGGCCTCTCCTTGGTGAGGGTGAAACCAAGTTTCTCTTTGGAGGCTAGGAATTTGAAGCTCTGTCTCACATATTTTGGGCACATGGCCAGGAGGGAGTAGTCCTCAGAGAAGGACATTATGCTCGGAAAGGTGGAGGGACAGAACAGGAGAGAAAGACCCCGGATGAGATAGATTGACATATTAACTGGGGCAGTGAGGTTTCTGTGTTGGAATTAATGAGACTGGCTCAGAACAGGGCAGGCTTCAGAGCTGCTGTACATAATGTCGCTATGGGGCACAGGCAATTAGGCAGCACATAACAACATAATAGTAGTCTAGTGGCAAAAAGCTGCACTGTAATCCTGAAGGCACGCGGCTCTAAGTCACCAGCTGCTCTGCAGGAGAAGGATGGGGAATCTCCTCCAATGTGTTAACTGCACCTGAAAACCTGCTGGAGGGTCAGCTGTGGGTCGGTTCCAACTTGAGAGTACACAACAACAATAACATTTGAGAAAAAAACATGTGGAGAAAATTGTTTCTAGATTGTAAACCCTCAAAGACACATAGATGTGTCTTGTTGTAAGATGTCATTGAGTCCGTTTGACTCATAGCAACCCTGCGTGCAACAGAACTAACTAAACACTCCTCAGTCCTGATTCAGCCTTATATTGTTGCTACCTTTAAAGCCTATTGTTGTAGTCACTGGGTCACCCTGTCTCATTGAAGGTCTTCCTCTTTTTTATTCACCTTCTGCTTTGAAGAGCATAATGTCTTTCTCCAAGCACTCCCTCTCCTAGCATTAGCCTGAAGTATGTGAAATAAAATCTTACCATCCTTGTTTACTTGTGTTTTATAGTATGGCAGATATTGTAAATACCTAGCTACAATACCTGATTCATTAGTGGAGTATTTAGAAACAAACTGTGCTTTCAGAGTGAAAGGAAAGGAAAACTGATAATAATAAATTTTTAAACTTTCGATAGAATCTATTTGACCTTTTCAGTGTTAAAAATCATACAAACTAAAATATAATAGAAGTTGGAGTGGTGGGAAGAACGAATGTATACACTAGCCAACATTTATCATAAAGTTGAGAGTTGCTGAAAAAGGACAAGTTGCCAACAGACATCCTTTCCATATGATGATTTAGTTTAAGCAGATAATTTTCATCAGTATGAAAATAATGGTCTGAAATAACAGGCTTTAAAAGTTCTTATATATAATTTTATAACATTATAGCTGTTGTTCATAGGGTCGTACTCAATGGTACCTAACAACAACAACATCATATGATTCTGTTAGTCTTACAAACTAAATAGAAATAAGGTTTATACAAGGATACAGCATTAGAATTCACGCATAAGGCACAATGGATTGCTTATGAAAGCAGAGATGGGAAAGCCTTTAGGGAAGTGGCTGAGAAAGGAATTACCTGAATTACTTAAATACAGATCCTAGGACCTAGCTTCTGCTTGAGAAAGAAGATGGGATACAGGGACAGGGAACCAGATAGACCATTTCAATAGGCATCTTGCTCTATTTTTACCTTGTGGAATGTGGATTTTTAGAGGCTGTAACTAGCACAGAAAGAGTTTGTGCCCTTTGCCCCCAAGAAGCAGCTGGTAGATTTGAACCATCTGCCTTTGGGTTAGTAGTGCAACTTCTTACCCACTAGGCCACCCAGGGTCCCTTCATAATTAGGTGTGATTCTTTTAAGTAGACTCACTGTCACTTATACTTCTACATTAAATATCTTCAGTGATAAGAACTCTCCCTTCCCTAATCCCAGTTAACTCACCACAGAGCTCTTTGTCCCTTTTTATGTAGGACAGAAATAGTAGCTACAGATCTACACCTGTTGTGATACCATTTGATAAGTTTATTGCAGCTACAGTAGCTCAAACAGTAGGTGTCATTGTTCCCCAGATACTCATTAGGGACCTCCAGCGCCATTGAAATGATTAAGGAAGGAAAAGGCAAAGCTAAGGTGTGCCAGACCCTGAGTGAGAGTGGCACAAATAAACACAACCCTACAAATTTAAGGTGAAAAAAACCCTTGGTGCAGAAATTGTATCCTAGCCTCTTTCATGTTGCAGACTGGAATCCAAAGCAAAAGAGCCCCTGTCTCAACTGCTCGGATTCTAGCAAAACCACTTGTGGTTATTCTGTCCACATTCAGCCTCTTAGTGTATGTATGCTTTTCCCTGTATTCCAGTCAGATAGGTCGTAGTCCTTGTCTGGGTCTGCCACCATTTATTTGAATCTCTAGTATCTGCAAAACTGAGTTTTGAGTTCTGTGATTTCCTTCCCCTGAGAGTTGTTGTTGTTGTTGTGTGCCATTGAGTTTGAACCGACTCATAGCTCCAGCTCATCCAAAGGCATGTGGTTCAGATCCATCAGCTATTATGTGAAAGAAAAATGCAATTTTTGTGCAATTAACTGCTTCTGAAAACCCACTGGAGGGTCAACTACGAGTCAGTTCTAACTCAACAGCAAATAACAACAACAAACTATAAAACATTAATTTTTTATTGTTAAAGCCACTTATTTGTGGTATTTCTGTTATTGTTGTTGTTGTTGTTGATTGCCGTCAAGTTGCACATGGTGCATAGCAACTCCATGAACAAAAACCCTTTCTATAACTTTCTATAACTCTCATTTCTCCAAGTTCATAGAGTTTCCAGAGGCATGTGGTTTAGGAAGTGGATGCCACTCCTGCTTCCCAACCTGTCCCAAAACTGGGAGCTCCACTATGGGCAGCCATTATGGCCTTTGAGACCCCAGTGGTACAAGCTTCAGCATCACAGAAAACCCAGATTACCTCAGCACAGCAAAATGACAGAAGAGTGCTGTATGACTTAGAAGAATGTTCCTCCAAAATATAGTTAGCAAAGGATTAAAATATAATACCTCAGACCTGGCTTATTAAATATAAGAGCCCTCCAGGAGGTTTTGTTGACTCTAAACAAGAGGCTTTAATAATTATTTAAAAAAACCCAAAAGCAAACAAAAAGAAAACAACCAAACATCCCACAATGACCCTCAACCAAAACAAGAGAGCATTTCTGTTATAGCCACACGGAAACATTATCTTTACTTACTTTGTGATGGTAACTCTATGTGTCTAGCTCTATGTGCCAAAGGGGATACAATGCCTATAATAGGAGCTAGTCTTGTTCTTCAGGCTCTGAACAACTCACCTAGTCTTCTTCCTTATTTATCTGAAATCATCTAGTAATTAAAGAGTGCCGGTGATGGAGTGCGTTACCAGTTGCACTGTTAAGCAAAAAGTCAGTAGATCAAAAATTAGCTCTGTAGGTGGAA